TACAAGTATTCCTGTTCTCCGTTTTGTTCAGGTTCGAGGCGTCCGAATAATCCGCATTGGTATACTGTCCGATGGATTTCAATTTTGCATTGATGTACTGGAACATTTCTAAATTCGGCTGCTTAGATAAGTTCTATATTTACTATTGTTGAGTTTATGGTTTCGGTGTTAAAGTCGCATTCGTCAGCGTCCAGTAGGGAGAATGTTGTGATGGTAGTGTTTGTGGTGCCACAGTGATATCCAATGTATGCATAAGTAATTTGAAAGAATGTAATGAATAACGTTATTTTTGAATACATGATTTGTTTGTCCTAAAACAGAGAAAGGTTTATCAGTTTATATACTCTTGTGTAATATTAATTTATTTGCATGAACTGTATTCGGTTTTCCACCCTTATTTATTGTTACATTATATTTGTCTGTGATATTTAATATTTCAAAAGGACCCAGGTTGTGATTCTTTTCTAATTTTCCTGGTTTAGGTTCTTTAATGAGCCACACTTGATCTCCTATTTTGAAATTGCAAGGGTTTATGTGGCGATCATAATATTTTTTTGATTTTTCTTTTGCTGTTATGAGGTTTTCTCGCGCTAAGCATGCAATATCCTGCATGTTTTGTATAAGTGTTAATAGATAATTATTGAATGTTGGCAATTGTTCTGAAGTTTTTAACGGTTCACTAGATGGTAATCGTGGTGGATAAGCGAAGACCAGTTCATGCTGAGTAAATCTATGTGCGCTGTGAACGCTTGTATTGTAATGAAATTGGGCTAATTCTAATAAATTGTCCCATTCAATTTTTTTACTAGAAAAATTTTTTAAATATTCACAAAGGGGGTGATATGCTCTTTCTAGGGAGCCGTTTGATTGTGGTGAAAATGCGGTTGTTTCTATTTTTGCAAATTTAAATCTACGAGCAATGGCTTTTAAAATTTTACTTGTAAAGTTTGCTCCTCTGTCGGTGAGGACTACTTTTAGTGAACTGAAAATACATATAAATCTTTTGATTAGGGCATCTGCAATTGTTTCTGCCGTTTGATCACTGAGTGGAACAACAATTATGAATTTTGAGAGGAGGTCTTGTATAGAAAGAATGTATTTGTTCTGATTATTAGTAACGTTTAGAGGTCCTACTATGTCCATTGTGATTTTGTCGAATGTTTTCATGGGAGTGTCCGTTATTATCATTGGTTGTCTAGTTTTTATTCTTTTTAGTTTGTTTCTTTGACAAATTTCACAATTTTTAATACGGTTCTCTATATCAGTTTTCAGATTTTCCCAATAGTGTTTGTTCTTTATTCTGTTCCATGTTCTGTTGATTCCCGAATGTCCTCCTAGTGCGCTTGAGTGATATTGGTCGAATATTGTCTCGGTCTGTGAGTTTTACGTAGTCGATGTAATTTAGGCAAATGATAATTTTAGTTTTAGAAGTTTCGAATGTTGTTGCTAGAATGTTTTCTATTTCGGTCCAGTGTATGTTTTTTAATTGTAGGTCTCTTGAGATGCTGAATATTTTTATTTTCTTGCGAATTATTAATGTTCTTAATAATTTGAAGAGACCTTTGAGATTCTCCTTTATCCTCATAGCGGACTGTCTTGTGTCAAGACAGGCTATGAAGATATTTTTTGTTCTTGACTGTATTATTTCAATTTCCTGGGGTTGTAGATTTTTGTCTGGTTGTATCTGTTTGATTTTTATTAGACTTTCTGTTGCGTTATCTAATGATTGATGTTTGTTGTCGATAAAATGTATAATGTTGTCTTTTCTTGATTCGATGGGTTTTTTCGTAAATCGAATGTTATGTTGTTTCTGTGTTGTATTTTCGTCATTTTCCATATGTACTTGTGCTTGTGTAATATTTTTATTTCTATTTTCTTTTTCTTTGTCTTGTTTTCTTGTTATTTTGATTTGTTCCTCTTGTTTTTCTTGTTCATTTGTTATTATTTCTTTTGATTCTTGTTTTGCTTTTTGTGCTCTGGTAACTGCGTTTATTTTTATATCTTCTATCGGATTTCGTGATAGTGCATCGGCATTTGTATTTATTTTGCCAGGTTTGTAGATAATATCATAATCATAATCTGCCAGTTTTAGTCTCCATTTTTGTACTCTTGAATTGTTGTCTGCTGATTTGAAGGATAACAATGGTTTGTGATCACTAACGACGGTAAATTTGTTTCCATATATGTAATTTTTAAATGTTTTTATTGCGAATACTATGCCAAGTGCTTCTTTTTCGTATGTATGGTATTTTTTTTCTGCTGATTTTAAGATTCTTGATGCGAATGCTATTGGTCTGTCATCACCGATCTCTCCTTGAGAGAGTACACAACCCAGCGCGTAGTTTGAAGCATCTGTTGTAATGATGAATGGTTTTTCCATATTTGGGCATTGAAGAACTGGAGTTGTGCATAGGGCGTTTTTTAATTTTTCAAAAGCTTCTTGTCTTTCTTCAGTCCAAATAAATGGTTGTTCTTTTTGCAGTAAATCTATGATAGGTTTTGCTATTTGTGAGAAGTGTCCAATAAAGCGTCTGTAATAGCTTGTTAGGCCTAAAAATTCTCTGATATTTTTGTTAGTTTTCGGGATAGGAAATTTCTTTACTCGTTTCAATTTGTAATCCTGCTATTCTTAATTTTTCTGCTATGAGTTTGAATCTTTCATTATGTTCTTCAACTGTATTTGCAACGATAATTATATCATCGATGTACAGATAGCAGAAACCTTTTTCCAATAGGTCTCCGAGTACTTTTGTTAGTGCTCTTTGGAAGACTCTAGGTGAGTTTATTAGTCCGAAAGGTAATACTTTGAATTTAAAACGTCCCAAGCCAGGGATACTAAATGCCGTTTTATGTATATCTGACTCTTTCATTTTTAGTTGATGAAATCCGGAAACCATATCGATGGTGGTGAAAACTTTGTTTTTTCCTATGCAGTCGAAAATTTCCAATATGTTGGGTATAAGAAGATATGGGTCTGGAATAGTTTTTGCATTCAATTTTCGATAATCTATCACCATTCTCCATTTTTTCTTTCCGTCTTTTGTTAATCCCTTTTTTGGCACAATCCATACTGGCGCGTTAAATGCACTTTTTGAGGGTCTAATTAAGTTATTTGTAATTAGCTTCTTTGTTTCATCACATGCGATATGCTTGAGTGTATATGGCAGAGGAAATTGTTTAACATATATTGGTTTATCATCAGTTAAATTAATTTCGTGTTCTTCTATGTTGCATTGGCCAAGCTTATCTCCTTCTAACCAGCATATGTCTTCAAATGACAGTATTAAATTTTTTATGTTTTCTTTTTTTCGTTGAGTCAGGTGTTCTAAATTTATTGTATCTATCAATTGCTTTCGTCGTATTGTTATTTCATGTTCTTGTGTCTCTTTTTGTGTAATTTCGTTGTGCGTAGTTGTAAATATATGTGTCGATTTTAAATTAGTTTCTTTAGGTGTGGATTTTTCATTGATGTTTTTGAAGTTATTTTCTATATCATTCATAATGTGAAGTTTCGTCATTTTGTCATATTTTCTGTCGATCTCTCCTGCAACGTTATCTCTCAACGTGTCGCAAAAATTTGAATAATCATTAATATCATTAATATTAATCAGTCGGCATTTGATCCTTGAGGACAACAGACGTGTTTGTGTTGCACTCTACTCGAAAAGTTAAAGTATTAGCCAATCAATCCTTGTTTGACTTTCGTTATTACCGTGCTGAATTAAATCAGTTGTTGTGCTGCATTTTGTGTTGTTTTTCCACTTAATTTGTTGTAGACTTGTTTTGTTTGTGACTTTTGTGAGTGACAGTTGACAATCTTATTGTTTGGTGCGTCAGTTATGTCTGACAATAGATGTTTTTCGTGCCCGTCTAAGGGCCCTATCAACGTTAGTGATGCCGTTCAGTGTCCGGGTTGCCGATCACTCTATCACATGAGTTGTGCGAGCAAGACAGCCAAACTTTTTAATGGGTCATTCAAAAAGTGTTGTGGAGGACTTGAGATACCTTCGAGAGCATCATTGTTGTCTCCAGTGTTGTCTCCGATCATGAGTGCCGCGCAAGCCGGATTAGTGTCTAATCCGTCTCCGCCTAAGCCCCTCAATGACTCGCATTGCGAATCATGGGACGATGTTGTGAAATATTTCGATTCGAAATTGAACAGCATCGTCTCATTGATTTCTGGAAGGTGTGACGAGCTTCAGCGCGTGACGGATGGTCTTGTCGCGCGCTCTGATGCCATGGATGCCAGGATGGGCGTCATTCAGCATGAGCTTTCGGTGGTCACTGGCTCCATTGCCTCAATTTCAGGCGGTCAACCATTCTATCTCGGAGCAGGCCACTCGAGTTGACGACCACGAGGTTAGGCTGGCAAGGGTGGAAAGTTGTGTCGGCGAGTCCTCCACAAAGATTGATACGGTTACTCTCGCGGAGATGAACGAGCAGCGGAGAAGGGAATGTAATTGTATGATATACAATTTCCCTGAACATGTCTCGTCGGCCGAGGACACAGCGGCGGTGGCGGCGCTATTTGTGGGGGCGAGTATTGATGCTTCATTGCTCACCACTTTGCGCCTTGGAAAGAGGGCTGAGGACAGGACTCGTCCATTGAAACTCATTCTTCGGTCTGCTGTTGAGGCGCGGTGGTTCTTGCGTCACTCACCGGATTTGCTTAAATCGGTGCCGAACGCGAAGTGTGGCCCGGACCGATCCGCTTTTCAGCGGCAGTTGTTGCGTGAGACCATTGCCGACATCAATTCTAGAATGCAGGCCGGTGAGAAGGATCTCAAAATTAAATTTTTCAATGGCGTACCCTCCATCACCTCAACAAAAAACACATAAGTGCAGCCGAGATACCCAATCTTCTTTCTATTTACTACCAGAACGTTGGTAGCATTAAATCATCCATCACTACTTTTATTAATAATGTATTAACATGTGCGCAAAAGTTTAATATAATTGCCCTCACTGAATCCTGGTTGGATGACACGGTGGATGATGCTATGCTGAGGATTCCTGGCTACTCGCTCGTGAGATTGGATCGCTGTAAGGTTCGGAGTGGCAGATCTAGGGGAGGTGGTATCCTCGTTTGGATTGAGAACACATGCTCCTTTGTAACAGTACATACCCTCAATTATGATTTGGAGCATGTGACTCTGAAGCTTGACTATGGAGCACCGCTACTTCTCTCCGTTGCTTATCTGCCGCCAGTTACGTCTCTCTCACCGGTGATATTCGAGTCATCTTTGGATTCCTTTTGCTGTTCTCTGGAGGATTCAGCTGCCGGATATCCTGAGTGTGCCGTTCTCATTGTGGGTGACTTCAACCTTCCCCGCTGCACGTGGTCGGCTTTTGATGGTGTGCTTTCATCTGATGCACTAGCAAGTAGGACTATTCGTGATTCGGCATCAAGATTGGAGAGTTGTACGAGCTCTCTTAAGTGCGCTCAGTTGATTCGTTCAACAAATTGCTCTGGAAACACGCTTGATTTGGCATTTTGTAGTATTCCGGCGTCTCTCTGCATGGCTTTGGATCCTCTGGCACCATCGGACAGACATCACGAACCTGTCATTATTAATTTGAACTGTGTTGCAGTGGCTTCACCGAGCTCTCTACCATTTGATACTTCTGCTTCCTTCAACTTTAAAAAGGCAAATTATAGCAGTATTAATGCTGCTCTGGCGTCGACAAATTGGAATGATCTCCTTGGTGGTCATGAGTGGGACGTTGACATGGCGCTTGATTGTTTTTACCGGAAATTATTCGAAATTATTAGCTGCAACGTTCCGCTTACTGGCTCTTTCACTGCTAGATTCCCGAGTTGGATGACAGACGAATTGAGAGCTGCGATTTCTCAGAAGAAGATGGCCCACCGGATATTTAAGGCTTCGGGAGATGGTCAGGCATTGCATGACTTCAGGAGCTTCCGGACAATTTGCAAGCGTCTGACGTTGCGCGACTACAGTCGATTTATTAGTGATGTTGAGGAGTCATTGGAGTCTGATCCTGGAGAGTTCTGGAGGTTTGCTAACCCTAGGGATTGTTGCTCTGGCTATCCTGATAGTATGTATTATAATAGTATCGATGCCCATGATGGCCCGGATATTGTCAACTTGTTTGCGGATTTTCTTCGGTTTTTCTTCAACTTCACTACTTAATGATTTCGAGGGGCTAACGTTTGATTCTAATACGCTGTCGGACATTTCTCTTGATATTGAAGAGGTAACTCAGGGCCCTGCTGGCCTGAAACCGTCATCTGCGGCCGGACCTGATGGAATCCCGTCAACTTTTTTTGTAAATTGTACCAATTGTTTAGCTCAACCGATTATGTATATTATGAATTTATCTTTACGATCTCGTACCTTTCCTACTGCTTGGAAACAAGCTTTTATCATTCTGGTGTATAAGAGGCGTGGTGACAGGAGAAATGTTTGTAATTATCGTCCAATTGCCAAGCTCAGCGTGCTTTCTAAGCTGTGTGATCATCTGGTGTCCATACGACTTTCTCGTTTCCTTCTTCGTGTCATTAATGTCTCCCAGCATGGCTTTGTTCCGCGCCGTTCAACGGTTACTAATCTTGCGGAGTTCATTGAATTTCTTACGGACGCATTCGATGACGAGCGGCAGGTTGATACGATTTACACTGATCTTACCAGTGCGTTTGATTGTGTTAATCATCAACTTCAAGTTGTCGTTCTATGGTATTCATGGCCCTCTTCTATCCTGGTGCTCTTCATACCTATCACATAGAACCTACTCCGTTAAGCTCCTGAAATTCATCTCCTCATCTTATCTGGCTACCTCTGGGGTACCGCAGGGCTCGCACCTTGGTCCACTATTTTTCATTACCTTTGTAAATGATGCATTTTCCGTTATTCGTTCCTCCTGCATCTCTTTCTATGCTGACGACGCTAAAATTTTTAAAGTTATTACATCTAGGAATGATGCCGATGAGTTACAGCTGGATCTGCTGAGGTTTTCTGATTGGTGCTCAGTTAATGGGCTCTTGTTAAATACTGATAAATGTGCAGTCCTTTCATTTTCTCGATGTAAAGCGTCTTATATATTCGACTATTTTTGTATGGATCTTGCAATTGGTAGGGTGACGGAGTTTAAAGATCTGGGTGTATTGTTCGATCGGAGTTTATCGTTCACCGCTCACATTAATCAGTCCTGCTGTACGGCATCCCGGTCACTTTTTCTACTGTTTAGGCAATGTCGTGCCTTTAAGCGACCAGCCTCCCTCATTGCACTTTATAACGGTAACATTCGCTCTCGTCTCACGTATGCGTCAGTTATTTGGGCTCCACGTTTTGACCAGCAATCCAAGTTACTAGAGACTGTTCAGCATCGTTTTCTGGGTTTTTTAGCTAATAAATTTGGCCCACGTATGGATCCCTTCTCTCATGACTACTCTGCCATTGCAAACTCATTTCATATTAGTACCGTCACTTCCTTCATTAATTACCAGTCTGCATTTTTCATTTATAAATTATGTCATAATTTCATCGATTCGATTTCACTCTCTAACCGTATCCTCTATATTGTCCCAGCACGCACTCTTCGTGCCCGTAATCATACCTTTTTAATCCGTTCACGTAGGTGGAATCTTAACCATTTATCAATTATTGATCGATCATGCCTCATTATTAATAATTTGTCAACTCCGCTGGATGTTCACTCAGTTTGCTTGGGCGCTTTTAAACGGCTTGTTCGTGCGAATACTGCGGTGTTTCGCTAGTGTCTTATTTTTTTTTTGTCTTTTCTTCTGTCACGTGACACCTCACCTATTTCTTCCCTTTTACCCACCTATCTTGGCTGCTTCTCCCTATCTACATGTTAATTTTTGTTATTATTATTTTGTTTTATTATTCTTTTTTATTATTCTTTTATTATTTTTATATTAGTTATTATTTATTAGTTATTAGTTATTATTCTTTTTTATATTTTGTTTTTCTCTTTTTCTTTTCCTTTATTGTGTTACTTTTTTATTTTTTATTTTACTATTTTTCTATTGTATTGTTTTGTCGACTTTTGGATATAGTTTATAGCTATTCCGTTTATTTTTTTTCTTCTCACTATTGTCGTTTTATCAATTATTTATACTTCTTTTTGTTTATATTATATATTTTATTATTATATTTATATGTATCTTGATATGGGTTTATGCCCGTTTAATAAATTAAAAAAAAAAAAAAAAAAAAATTAATAGTATAGTTCTCCTTGGTTTCATTGGATTCGTCTTCCAGGGCTTTATTAATATTTCCAATAAATTGTGTCAAGCTTGAGTTATAGTTAGGTTGAGATATTTTTGTTTCTGGATTCCCATATATTTGATCATTCGTACTAATTTTCGTTTCTTTTTGTATGTCACTTATTATATTTAAGATTTGAATTACATTTTTATGTATTGATACTTCTTTGCTGTGTGTAATCGTATTTGTTTCGATATCAAATGCTATGGGTTTCCATGTGTCATGATGTTCATTAATTTCTTTTGATGTTTGTACTGTAAATGTGTTTGTTTGATTTTTGCTAGTGATTTCTTTTAATGGCACTTTTTGATTATTTATTTCCAAGTAACCTCTATCTAATCTTAATTTGTGTTTGGATAAGGCATTTATTCCTATTATTCCATCGTAAGGAATAGAAAAGTTATCTGGTGCTACATGGAAATCAAATGGTTCATCTGCAATATACATTTGTGTTGAACCTATTGTTCTTATGGCGTCTTCTATGATTCCTGATATAGATATTTGTTCATTTCTATTTAAATGCTTTTGTGGAATGCTGCTATTCTTGATAATATTTAGTTGTGCTCCACTGTCTACTAGTAGTTGCAGTTTGTTATTCGAATTTGGTTCAACTATTTCTATGTACTTGAGCAGGTTTTTTAGTTTGACAATGTATATTTTGGTACAGTCATTTGTAATTTGTTGGTTAATATCAGTACTATTTTTAGCTATATCTGTCTGTAGCATGGTACTCGCTATTTCCTTTATATTTTCTTTGAATTTGCTGTATGTATCTATGTGATGTTTTGTTTGTGTTGGGAGAGTGAGTGTTTTGTCGTGGAACGTTTTTATTGTCTGCTCATTCTTTAGGCGTTCCTTCCCAAAGGAGCTCCAGAGTTTTCCGAGTTTGTCCCATGTTTGCGACATTGTTCTGTTGTATGACCGACACCTTTACAGATTCTGCAAAATATTCTTTCTTCTTGTAATCTTTTAATTTTTTCACAGTTATCTATGTTATGTCCAGTTTCGTTGCAACCTTCGCATGTGATTGAAATATTTTGAGTTGGATAATTTTTTAGTGCTTGTAATTTCCTACATTCACTTGCTGTGTGACCTATATTTTTGCAATAAGCGCAGAATTTTTTTCTTTGATCATTGTTAAAATTGTTTCTGTAATCGTTGTTGTGGTTTCTATTTTAGGTGTTATAGTTTTGCTGATTTTGCTGAGGGTTTGCAGATTGTTGTGTATTCGCGATTTTTCTGCAGAACTTTGCTGTGTGACCTAATTGATCACATAATTGGCACTTGTAACTTGATTTGTTTCTTTGTTCTGTGAAATATATTCGCGCTTCTTCACAATCTTGTTCTTCATGTCCTTGTTCTTGGCATAGGGTGCACATTCTATAAGGTGATCTATTTTTACCTGTTGTGCAAAATTTGATAGAGTGACCTTTTTTATTACATTTTTTACAAAAGATCTCAGGGCATTCTTGCATTGAATGACTTCCTTCTTCACAAATATCGCATTTGTTTACCTTTTGTGTGATCTTATTTTTACACTTGATGGCTTCATGTCCTGTTTCTCCACATTTCCAGCATTTTATGTAGTCGGCAATGTAGGGGCATTGACATACCTCATGTCCTAATTCTTGACAGTATTGGCAATGGATATTTCTTCGTTTGTTCAGTGGGCAAGCGCTTATTGAGTGTCCTTTTCGGTTGCAGTATTTGCATATCAAATTGATTTTGTCTAATGAATTTTTACAATTATTAGAAAATTGATCTGATCCTTTACAATAGACGCATGCTGCAGAATGGCAAAATAGCGCTTCGTGTTGGGGGTCATGGCAAATTTGACATATCATGATTTTTTTGGTAGTTCAGGTCTATTATAATAATCATTGTATTCGTCATATGTGTTATTAATTGTCACATTGTCTGTTGCTTTTATAATATTTATGTCATTTTCAATTTCTATAGCTTTTTTGGACATTTCTTGTAATGTTGTCTCGTTGCCCAGTTCGTATTTTATCTCCGTTCGCATTCCTTTTTTAAAACATTTTGCTGCGTCCGCATCTAATTCTTCGTAGAAATTCTTCCGGGCTATTTCATTTGTTTCTTGTATTCTGTATATTTCTTTGATTTCTAATACTAATTGACATAATCTATTTGTGTATTGAATAACTGATTATGTATTTCCTTCTGTTATTTTGCGTATCCTAGCACGCAGTTCGTGTATGTCTTCTTGAATTGGGTATAGACTTCGTATTGCTGTATTTAATTCGTCTATTGTTTCTACACAACTGTTTCCTAAAGCTTCTTCTGCTTCTCCCTTCATTCTCACTTTCAATAGTTCTACTACATTGTGTTCATCTTGGTCATCTACTAAATTTTTTACTCGTCGTAGTCTCCTGATGTACTTTGCGGGTGGCATATTTTTGCCATCGAAGTCCGGAACATAATTTACCAATTCCTTGAGTGATAATTTGATTGGGTGTGAATTTGCCATATTTATTGGGTTTGTTGCTGGACTTGTGATACGTTGGTTTCCTTGAATTTGTCTTTGAATTTGCTGAGTGTTTCTTTCACTCTCCTTTTCGTTTGTGTATTGTGTTTTGTTTGTTTTTCTAATGTCTTTTTTTGAGTCTTCGATGTTCTGCTGTTGGTTAATAGGTTCGTCAGAGTTTTTTGGTAATGCGTATTTTGTGTAGACAGATTCTTCGTTTGTGTTTATGCTGAATAATATATTTTTTGGTGTCCCTAATATTAGGCTTTGTTCACCTAAAAATCCTCCAATGTCTGAATATCTATCGTGTTTTTCTGAGTCAAATGTGTCAAACGTCTGGTCTAATAGTGAATATTTGTCTGAATCAGTGTAGTCGGTTTTATTTGTTTGTTTTTCTGTTAAATCAACTAATTGGTCA